GAGGTAAACCGTACCTTCGAATTTCGTTCTCAAGTATCCCTAGGTCGTGTTCTAGATCTAGTTCACACTCGAAATTGCTTCGAGAGTTTAGCGCTTTAAACAAAACTCGGTGAAATTGTTAAATTCCATCACAGTCAGGTAACTACGGATAAAAGTTTCCAGCTTGGTTAATTGAGAATATGATTAATTGATTCGAAGGGGTCTTACTCTTCGGGAAAGTTTCAGAGAGAGAAAGTAAATTAAGTTTACTGACAGCATTCTTCACTCATCTCTGCAGGACTGTTCCTCAAAACAACGGAGCTTCCTCTGGGTTAACCAAAAATCCGAGTTACCTAACATCTTAACACATTTATGTTCATCCAAATTCATGTAAAAATTGAAGACGAATAATTTTTTTTCGATCATAATTACACAGAGACTTGTTTCTGTACTCCTTTTGTAAATGCGTTTGAGCACCGGTGCGCGGCAGTGATTTATACTTTGGTACGCTTTTCATAGTCAACCACAATACTTCGTTAGTGTTCCAACCAAAAGTCTCAAATCACTTGTGAGGAATTTGTACACAACCAACTGTTAGAGATTCAACAAAGAACCATTAATAGAGACAATGTAATAGTTTGAACTCAAATTTGATTTCAAAATCTACCATTTGGTGAAAATAGGTGTCATGCTTTGAAATTCTCGAGAAAAATGACAGGAATTCAAATGAAACGGGTCGGCAGGGATAATGTACTTCTACCGTCTCCACTTTTTCCGATTTATAAGCCCCTTTTTTCAACTTTAAACGCATCTTGGTGTGTCTCTAGAATGGAGTTCAACGCTATTGTCGCCCACCTCCTCCTCCACATGTCGGGGCCTATCATGGATATTTGGTATATTTCATTCCTCAAAACATCTGGTGTTGAGATTTTGGGGAAAATCCTTCTCCTTCGTCTTCTTCGCTCAAATTATACTTAAAATTGTTTGTCCTCAAGGATCCTTTTTCACGTGAAACTACTTTAGAATATTCAAGGGAGGAATAATGTGCGCAATAAAACTGTTTGTTCAAGCGTCATGAGAAAAGCGTCTGAAATTTTAATAACTTCGTTAAGCGCGAAATCAGACGAATTGAGGAAGTAAAAGACATATAGAAGAAAAGAATTTCAGAGAAGAAACAGGGTAACGAGATGCATGCATTTTCTTCTTCAGCTCGTCGCTCCATATTACTCCGCCCTGCTTTTCCCGTGGCGTGAAGAACAATCCGAAGATTTCTTTTTTCCAGCAGTCAAACTTCGTCACCTCCCACTCGTTATTTTAATTTATCGTTTGCGAGTTTTTGGAGCTCCAGTGTGTAATTTTGAGCTCCAGTTCTCTTTTGAGTTATTTTCACCGGCTGCTGTGCATTTCTGTAAATATTCAATTCATGAATTCTGCTCTGTTCTCGACATTTTTATCATGCGTTGTCAATACACATGTACTTGAAGCGTATTCTCCCGCAAGTACCTAGTGTTCCCAGTCTAACTTTTTGCGGGGAAACTATTTTTCAGAGCTATTTGCTTTAAAAACGCACCTGCTGGACTCAACGCCTTGCGCTTGGACGACACGATATGTAAGCGTACATTATAGAGGTGTTTTTGATTGAATTTTTTTTTTTGAAAAATATAAAGTTTCAAAAACTTTTCATTATGACCATTGCTTAGTTATCCGTGTTCAAATGATTACTTATCCATTCTTAAATCATGCTGAGTTAAGAAATTGACAAAATCAGCAGAAGGGAACCTAGGACCTAAAAATTAAGCCTAATATTGTGCTAACTCTTTTATTTTAAGTACTCCAAAAACTGATGTTGATACTATTTTCACAAAATGAAAAAGTGAAAAATAATAAGAAAAATGGATGCAATAAATGTCACCCTTTGTGAGCATACTCTTACATTTGCTCCTAAATGTTAAAAGAAGGTTGTTCAGTGCTCATATGGTTGTATAATTTAAAGAGGCATACTTCAGAGTACTTTGGTCTTCCTGCTAAACGAATTCCTATTTAAATACAATAAAGCAAACAAAACAACAGTCGAAAATGGTCCTGTAAAACTTGAAACTGTGAAAAGCTTTGAATTTTTTATGACTTCAACTTATAATTCAGAAGTCTTTCGGGAGAGTGTACATAAAATCCTTGATTTACAAATATCTAAAATTTAAAAAAAAAATAATAATAATAAGAGAGTTGATTTTGATAAAGTGAAAGTTTGTGAGTTTGAAGTACTCGCCGATCTTATTTGAACCTCTTAAATGCGGAATGTCTTTCGAGACGATTCCAGAGTCCTCGCACGCCAAAAATGCCTTTGTGAAGATCCGAGGGTTTATCGAATCAACAGTTGCGAAGTTTATTATTCCCTTTTGTTTTCTCTCTTGAGAATATTTATCAACAGTTTAAACTCACGTTTGCATTCCAGAGATTCTTACATCAGAAGTTTCCTCAAAAGTTAGCTTTAAAGTTTGTCCAATTTTTTCGGGGAAGGAAAAGTGAGGGAGAGGGAGAGAAGAATAATTACGAGTCCGCGGCGGATTGTAGAGGGAACGACCGAAACGGTCCCGAGCGGAGAGATTCCCTACAGGAATAATTTTATTAAAACTAAAAGAAAACTTGAAGCTGGAATCGAGTATAATTGAATGGAACAAGAAGCAGTAAATAGGAGGGCTACCTCAAAAAAAATCGTTGGGCGATGGTGTCAGATTGCTTCAATAAATCAAGAGGAACACTGTGAGTTATACTGCCGTGCTAAGGAAGAACGCCGTATGAACATTCGAGAGTATTCGAATTCCCTTCGATAAAATGTTTAATTTTGAGAAAAAGTATGAATATTTTTCAGTGAAATTTTTAGACGTTTTGGATCTAATTACAAACAAAATTATCTGAGAAATTGGTAGACAAACATTCAAAACTTTTCCTGAAATGTAGTGATTTGCCAGGGGAAATTTGGCAACGCCTGAAGGCTCATACGGTGTTTTTCCTTAGCACGGCAGTATACTAGTGTAATGCCGTCTACAGAAAAAATGCCGTAACTCCAATCACCACTTTGCGTTTTTCTTCAGCACATATTGTACTATTACGAGAAAACGTGATCATTAAAGTGCTTCATTTTGCAAAGTTGAATTTTTGGTGGTATCCCACAGAAATTCTAGAGCTGTAAAGGATAAATGGTCGTTAGTATTTCGGTAATCGGTAATGAAACATTTTTCCGGTAAAAAGCTGACAAATTTATAATGGAGTTACGGCGTTTTTGCTGGGGACGGCAGAGTATCAAAAGATTCAAGAAATAAAACTCTTTTGAATGATACTGATTTTTCAATCAGCTCAGCAAAAGATAGACTAACAAGAGGCATGATGAAAAATTAATATCAATATGCTGCAGACAGGTTTGCGCTTCTAATTTGGAAATTGCGCTTCTAAATTATTTGGAATATTGACAATGTCGCAATGAAAATCAGTCCTCGTCGACACAATGGGCAATGTTGGAATTCAGTTACGGCACAAAAGAAACAAGCAAAGCGCTTTGAATCCGACTAACACTCATTATAACTCCTGGATGCAACTATTCGAGCTCCATGGATGTCCGTGTTGCATACGCACGCAATTGAAGGCGTTTTGACTGTCCAAGCATCCACCGCTTTAAGGCGGCAGGGCGGGTGTCAACGGCAAGCTTATTTACGAAATTGAGTTACGAGTGGTTTTGAGCTCGACAAGTTGTATATTATTTTCTACCAAAAATTCTTAGTCCAAAACAAATATTTAGCTTATAAAAAAAGGAGATAAAATTAATTATTTACATTGAGTCTTATGGAGAAACGAAACTTTAAGCCTTTTCTTCTCAGTTGCAACTTGATGTGGGCTGGTTCCTCTCTGATAAACTCGATCTACATGAACTTTGGGTTCAACGCACCAAGTTTCTCTCCATATGATACTTGGACGGCTCCTTACCTAGAATTTGTCCATAATTTTCTACCGTCAACTTTCTTTTCTTCCTTTTTTTGGTGGTGGGGGGAGGGGGGTTAAGGAGGGTGCTACACTACACAAGTTGGGCAAACGACATGGGGGGGATTGAGCCTCATCCATTTTTAATTCGTCCCGCTAATGAGATGCGGAGGACGCGGAGTTGCGGGGACGTGTGGCGCACAGTGGATCGAGTCAATAGGTGAGGTCGGACTAAATTCGTAAACTTTAAACGCTTATAACTATGTTTGTGCAAAACTTTGAGGTTCTGAAAGGGGTGCCATTGGTTTTCTCGTAAATTTTTCTCCTTAAGGCTTGCCTTGAAATTTAAAATGTGACGAAAGAAACATGAAAATTTACAGGCTCAGTAAAAAATTTCATGTCCGAGCTCTCTAATGGAGATGTTGCATGTGTGAGGGATTGGCGATTTGACCATTTATTCTTATGTAAAAGTTCGCGAGAAACACGATGGTGCCACTGGTTTTCTCTGAAATCATCTCCTAAGCTCAAAAAAGCTCTCAAAGTGAGTCCAAAATGGAGGGGATATCCCACCCTACCCTGAGAGTCCACCTCTGCATTAAAACAAATTCTCCATGCAAAGATAGGGAGCAAATACATTAGCAGGGTTACCGTGTTTTCAGTTTTGGAGTCCCCAAATAAAGTGGCAGCCCTGTCAATGTATTTGCTCCCTATCTTTGCATGGAGAATTTGTTTTGATGAAGAGGTGGACTCTCAGGGTAGGGCGGGATATCCCCTCCATTTTGACCTCAACTTGAGAGCTTTTTTTGAGCTTGGGAGTTGATTTCAGAGAAAACCAGTGGCACCATCATGTTTCTCGCGAACTTTTACGTATGAATCGACGGTCAAATCGCAAAGCCCTCACACATGCAACATCTCCATGGACTCGACCCACTGTGGGACGTGTGGCGTAGCGGTTGCCGGCTCCTTGAAGGGTCTGGCGCTGCGGCGACAAGTGCTGCTGCGCGCGGGCGAGCGACACAGCACACAGGAGCCAGCGGCACATTCGCGGTTGTCTGTCACGTCGCGTCGCCGGCCCGAGCTTTCAGATGTTGCATCGCGCGCTTTTCTCGCGGTTCCCGTCCCCGTCCACAGTGCGTTTCGCGGGTGTTTTCGCCGCGATCATCGCGAATACCGCAAGCGGGCACCTCCGTGCGTAAGCACCCTGGATCTACTTTTTTATCTGAAGCGATTGGTCCGAGGAAAAATTGCTCGCTGCGATATCGACGGGTTTAATATATAAGGTTGAAAGCTCAAGTCTCCTCATTCCATTAATGCAGGGACGAATATAAACAATATCAGCCTAACTACACCAGGCATCGGTTGAATTCTTCTAATGTTCTTTTTTTTTTTTTCAACAGAAAACTGAGAAAATCCTGACGTGAAATTCCGTGGATAATTTCGAGGTGACGTGTTTTTAAGTTTTCTTTTGAAAATAATAAAACATTAGAGAAAATCAGGCAACATGAAATGTACTTAGGATGATGTCGTCTATTTAACCCAGCACTATTTATCTCCTCTTTTGCAAAAAAATTGAATGATGCGGAACAACTGTATTGATTTTTGAGTTTCATTATCTATGTTTAATGAAAGATTAATTATTTTATAATTGAAGTATCAGAAAAAGAGGATTAATTATATTAATTATTTTGAATGGAAATTACCCCCCCCCCAAAAAAAAAGCTCGATTTGATCATTGGCAGCGTTATATTAATCAAATATTTTCCCATTTTTTGTGCGGAAATTGAGTCAAATGTGAAAATCTTTGGGCTCCAATTTTACAGCTTTGGGTGCTTCTTACGTGAAGATCTTAGCGATTTATAACAATATTAAAATTTGAGAGTTTTATTCCGGGGTTATGCGCAGTAGCACAAAAAGACAGGGCATGCAGATAAATTGAACTCAGGTCTGAACCCTTTCATGTTGTATTCAACAAGGGAAACATTAAATTAAAATCGAGATTTGGCTTATGATTGAAAAATAAAGCAGCAGAGATGAATATTAATAAGGCGTTAAAAACCTTTTTGAATAGTGCTCTCAACTGAATGTACGTAAAATATAAAAGAAAGGAAGAAAAAGAAAAACTTTGATAAAAATAATTAAAATTGAATTGAATTTGATTCTTAATTTATGAAAACGGTCGAAATATCGAAGGAAAATTTTCATTATATCTAGAGGCATACTCCAGACTCGAAATTCAAAATTAATCGATGATTTTCTTATCTGGGAAACTGGTCGATAATAATAGTCGAATTTCGCCCTTATTTTGCAAACCCTTTCGGTTCAAGTCGTTGTCATAAAAAATTTGTGCATTGATCATTTTTTCAATCAAACATAAAGCCCGATACAATTTTGTTGGATACTTTAACGCATTCAAGGTGTTTTCATTTAATTTTTTAGCTCGGGTCTTTATTTGTGTGAATTTTTGTGTGGTACAATTTGTGTTTTCGGCTCCACTAAAGTGATCTTCACTATCTACTGATGGTAACATTTTCATCATTGTGAAGTGCTCAAAGAATTTAAGTTACCGCTACTATTGAAAAACTTATCTAGTGTTCATTTGTAAGGTTTAAAAGTGGATATAAGTTGTATTCTTCCGAGGGATCTGTTTGTCCTGTTTCAACAAGGAATATCCAGCGGGAAAAATGAGCTTTAGTATTTTTAAGCTCCTTGAATTGAAAATCTTAGGATTCTTCCTAATCGGTAAGTCCACAATTTATTGACTTTTGATCGTTACAAAACACGGAAAGTATCATCCATTTATGATTCTATGTCACTCACTAGCGTTGACTGGGGAGTACAACCCTTCACCGCTACGCGGAAGACCGCTTGAGGACGATTCGCGCTCTCCAAGGGCCGCCTCACGGGCTCATTTCAAAACCATCCCTCGTCGAAAGCCGCAAAAATTATGAAAACTGGCTCGGTAAATCCTTACAATGCACCGTGACAGAAAATGAACATCTACATTGTTTAATTAGGAGAATTCCCAACCTTATCATGGAATGTAAACAAATCTGGGTCATGTTCCCAAAATCTGGAGAGAACGGGCTCATCTAAGGACTATAACTAGTTGATAGTCGCAAAATTCATGGACATCGCCTCTGTAAAACAGTAAAACGGCTTGTGACAAAACATGAAAATCTAGGGAGTTGGAGCTCTGACTCTGAAAGTTGACCCTATAACTTTCTCTCTTTTTTTCATCGTTATAAATATGTAGGTAACATTTCTAAATGGATACGTGTGAACATAACAGATGAAGTCGTGTGGGGGTATTTTTGTATTTGCTTTGCACGACGCTGACTCGTTGAACTTATTTTTTCAAAGTTTTCTTTGAGAAATGATACCTAATGGTTGAAATAAACATAGAAAGACACAAAAAATAGGCTACCGAGGCTAAAAAAGTTTGATGCCTAAGAGGTTGGGACGTTTCAGGGTCCTAAAAATCCCATTTCAAACCGAATCAAATAAACATAAATTTACAAAGGAACAAAATCTAAGACTTACATCTCACAGATCGTCGTAAAGAAAATAACTTAAAATATTCTTTTTTAAGTTGAATTTTTTTAACCTTGGATACCCATTTTTGTGTGTTTTTTTCAATCCTCTTCAAAGGGGCTTTTGCACTGTTTTCATCGTTAATGTAAATATATGTATACTTATTCTACTTGTGCACGTAAAAGAAAAAACAAGAGAAAGAGATATCAATAATTTTGGCTTATAAATTTGACAAAAACTTCAGAATTACACCCAGGTTGTGCAAGTCCCCTTTTTGTCATTATTCAAATTACTTTTGATCCTGATTTTCAAACGCTTATGGCTTAGCTAAGTTCGAATTTGTCTTGCCATTCAATTGAGTCTCCGTTAGATTTACGGCGAAGGGTCCGTTGAGAGGATCTACTTTGGCCTCTATTCCCCAGGAATTCGGAACAATCGAATTCGGCAAACCGATGTCCAGAAGCTCACCGATACTCACAAACCGCCTGGAGGGCTGAAACTTTAGAGACCTCATTATCACTCCTTGTTTTAACCCTAAGTGATTCGTAGCAGCTGGAGACTCAATCAAAAGACGATTACCTCCATCTCCTGGTCAGAGCTCGCCAAAACATAATCCATCCTCCCTATCTAATGTCCTTGTTGCCTGATACGGCAAAAATCATTGAATTAGAGAACATTGCGTGCGAAATCCGACGAAGAACATCCGTACAGCCAAGCAGTTTTCACGTCGAAACATTATAATTATATGCATGGATCAATGGGCAATCTAACTTTCAAGTTACACTAAAAATGAGAAAGACACAACGCTTATCAGTTAAACTAAGCTATTCGAATGATTTTGGTACACATTTGGATGAAAAACTCCACATTTACCATATTATAACTTCATATTACAACATTACTATATGTTTAGCACTGACAACTTCCATTTACAGCATCGGTATCCAGCGTTTGAACTCGGCCTATTTCCCGGGAACGTCAAAATCTGACTCATTTTTAAAAAAGTTTAGCACGCTCTTCTTCGTGACTTTTACAGTAAAAACATTAAATACTATCTTACTTGATGATATATTTAGGAAAAATACATGATAAATTGAATTATAACCAAAATCGGATATAATTAAAAAAATAGTGCCATATAATCGAGCATATTATAATATGAATAGGCAAATAGATAAGATAGCAATTGATTTTTTTTCTTTTAATAAATTAGAAGAAATCGGGTGATGGAAGAACAGGAGAGAGTGAAAGGAAGCCTAAAAGTGGGAGGGAATTCAGGAGAGGGTTTAAGGATCTGCGTGCTAGGGGAGTGGGGGTGGGGGTTTTAAGCTGAAATTGATGACTCTCGAAAGATGAGAAGCCGCGGAGGCAGATGGCAGGGAAATATAAGGACGCGGCTCGAAAACCATCGCGCGGCATCGATGATGACGGCACGGAATAAAATTTGATTTAATTAGCGGAAACAAGCTCCTCAAGTTTGCTACGCACATAATTATTTAGCTCGTCAAATTCTGTGGTGATAACTTCCCACGAACTTTCTTCACCCCCTCGCTAACAACCTTGTTTGTTGGTTTTCTACGGCGGCGGTTCTCTGACTTCAAGGTGATGAGTCGAGAAAATTCCTCCTCTAACTCTGTATCTAGAAGTAAAAAAAAAAAAAAAAAAAAAAAAAAAAAAAAAAAAAGCCGAGATAGGATCCATCCTGCTTGCGATATAAAAAATCCATCCGTTGATTCCTGGATGCTGGATTGAATCCTCTCGTAGTTACTTTTACATCCTGGGAATGCAATTTTAACATCTAGAAATCACCAGACATACAGTTTGGCGCACTAGATGCATGAAATGTGTTAACATATCCATGGCAGCCTGAAGGCGAAAATACATTAGTCCACGGAATATCAAAATTGAGTTATTGAAATCAGTGTTTTTACTGGTATTTTTACTATTTTATTATTTAGTACTAGACGAGTATTTCTCGTACATTTTAGAAAAAAAACCAATAAAAAAAGCACAAATTTGTTTAACTAGAACAAAATTAAACTGATTCGAAGTTGCAGATCGTAAAACGAGAAGTTACTAGAAAAAGATTCAAAATTCTGATCTGCTAGTTTCAGAGCTCCACATCATCGGATTATAATGCTGATGTACACCCTTTTTTGACACAAAAATTGACTAAACTGCTTATCGCAACCTGCTAAAAAACACTGTATGGCTACTAGTAAAGTACCAAGAGCATCTTTGCTGGATTTCAAATATAAACATATGATTTAGTTAATAATATAAGTGTATGTGCGATTACCTCTGTGTTAATCTTTCTTTATTGGTGGAGCAAGATTATTGCTTTTTTCAGTTTTCATCCGATTGAATTTCCTAAATTTGCTTCGTATCTAGTAAATTACATTAATGCAATTGAATCTTACGTACCGCCATCAATTTAATTGAATAATAATCTAAATACCATCAGACGAGCTAGTGCACTAACACAAAGTTCGTGCCAATACGCGTACCCATGATTCATTCGCGAAGGACAAATACATTTCAGAGCAGGGTGGAGGAAAATAAACGCTCCCAATTCGTCAAAAGGTAGTCGTCGCTTTTGCACTGTCTTCGTCATTCTCATTTATTTTGGATTGCGGAAGAAAAAGGAGAGGTATTGCGCTGAAAAACGTCCGAAGGATAGAATAGACACGTAGAATTTACAGGGAGCACCAAACATAGATGCCAAGTTATGTGAGTTTATTCTGGATTTTCGGTATGTCTCACGCATAAACATTGAACTTAAGACAAAAACCTCAGACGCAGCAGGTATAGCTAAACTATACAACACTCGTATTCACTGTTTTTTTTTTTAAATTTATCGTCACTTTCTTACTTAGTATTTAATATACTCAATATTCGTTTCAAATGATCTATAAAAAACCCTCAGTTAAAAAAAAAAAAAAAAAAAAAAAAAAAAAAAAAAACTTTATAGTCATAGCAGTTGCAAATTGACATCAAAGCGATTCCCTAGAGACAGGCACTAGGAGCTACCTAAAGCACTGCGTTTTTCTTATGAAAAATCGACGGCAGGAAAAATCAGAATGAATGAATGAATGAATGAATAGAAAAAAAAGAAAAAAAAAATTAAAATGATCAGTAGACCCCCGGAGTATCAGTAGTATACCCGAGGAATCATTGTAAATAACGATGACAGGTAAGAAAAAAGTCTCTCGAATCAAAGTAATAGAGATCCATTAATGATGGATGATCAAAAAAAGCTCCTCCAAATGTAGGCCACGCCAAGGAAAGTTTGATATCACTGACTACTATCTCATCACTTTCACCCTCCCATCAAAAATCATGTAAAAATAATTACTTCTTCATTGCGATTATATATGATGAGAATTGAACGCTTGAAGAGTGCGCAATCAATGTTTTTGATTCTTTTCTAATCAAAGCACGCTATCATCATAATTTTTTGTTCATGTTCTAAGATTGATACTCGTTGCCCTGAAATCTACGTAACAATTTGAAGTTACTTCACCCCTATTTTTGCTTTACATTGATCTATCGCTCTAAAAATCGTTATTCGATTTCCCACACGATGTATTGACGCTGTATTTCACTCAGAGTCAATTTAGAGTCAATTCTACCAGAAGAAAGGTAAACGTTACTATATCAAGGAGAAAAAAGCTGCGTGCATGGGACCCGAAGTTGAGGTCATATGGATCTCTGAAGTTTTCTGATCACGCATCTGTAAACTTGAGGTCGAGCTGCCGAAGTTTGAGTGAGACATCGAGGCACTTCGGTTTTGTCGAAGTACTTCAGATGCCTGGCCCAAACTTCGGCAGTTGGACCTCAAGTTTTAGGATGCGTGATCCGGAAACTTCGGGTCCCATGCACGCAGCTTTTTTCTCCTTGATATAGTAACGATTACCTTTCTTCTGGTAGAATTGACTCTAAATTGACTCTGAGTGAAATACAGCGTCAATACATCGTGTGGGAAATCGAATAACGATTTTTAGAGCGATAGATCAATGTAAAGCAAAAATAGGGGTGAAGTAACTTCAAATTGTAAACGTGTTCGGTTCCCATTTTGACAACCCTGAGGTCTTGGAGCGTCGCAAGGCAGTCGACCAGAAGAAGGAAAGAGGACAGTGACTTTTGGTTAGGAATACGGCTTTGTGGTCACTTGAACGGAAAATAAGGAGCCAGGGCGGCGGAGATAG